TATAGTGAACTATGTAGTGATTTCTCTCTGCTGAATGAAATATACATGTATTTCATTTGTTGTTTTCCATTGGTTTCTTCTGTGGTTTCTTCCTGGGCAGGAGAAAAACAAAGTCCAAAAATATTTTTTTCAATGTGATAACATACATTTTTTTAAATTTTCATAGCTTCATGTTCACAAATACATGAGCAGTTCAGGAGGAACTGCTAGTAAAGCAAGTCTTGTATTTACATTTACAGTTGTTGGAGTACCTGTAAAGGTCTGCAAAGACTTGCTTTTCAAAAGCTCTTCTGACCATCTTTGGTGCACTTTGTATGCTCAACATTCTAAATTTCAGTATAATAGTCAATATAGAGTCTCAGTATAATAGTTCAGCATATCATTGATTTTTTAAGTAAATTTGGAAGATTTAGAATGTTTTATTACATTTTTTTCAGTGCCATCCAAAACATTAACAACATTTTAAAAAATAATTCTGAAATCAAAATTCTAAAGTCAGACAAACCTAATTCATTCTGAGAAGGGAAAAAATATGTTTTTGATCAGCCATTTCGTTTCAAAAATGCACTTTAATCAGGACTGGAAAGAGTCATCTTGAAGAATCAAAAGCAAAATGAAATTTCTGAACATTCTGAAATTGAGAACATTGAGAATTTCATGCTTGTTTTTATTAAGATGCTTAGATATAAAAAGGCTCTACAATAACACCCCTTTTATCAGTCCCTGAAAGAATATAGTTACCTAAATTTTGTTGCCATATCTTTTAAGAGTTAGAGTATGGAGTTAGGAGATTTTTGACAACTGGCTTTCTGCCTATTTTCTCTTTTTGCATTTTCACCTTGATCTGCTACTGTTGCTTGTATACACAATTTTTCCTTTTCAAGCCAGTATGTGATATAATTTTGTGATACAATACCAATGCAGTACCAAAGCATATTTGGCAATATGCTTTATACACACACACACACACATACATATAACTATATATATATATATAGCTGCATATAGCTGCATATCCTTTTGTCATAGTCTGGAAATGCTTTAGAATAAATGTTAATGTGTGAAGGGAAGAGGATTTTTGCCTGAAACCAAGGTTAGCAAGAAGAGTCCTAAATTCTGAGATTTCTACAGCAGCAAAATGGAAAATTAGATCCATCAGTTTCAGAGAAAAGTTTCTGCTTCTTCCAGATAATTCAAGGAAAGTGAGACAGGCTCTGGCCTTCTGCTTCTGATTTGTCTGATAAATTATAAGGACCTGATTTGTCTGAAAAATTATTGCAGATGACACCAAATTAGGTGCATGTGTCAATCTGCTCAAGGGCAGGAAGGCTCTACAGGAGGATCTGGATAGGCTGGACCCATGGGCTGAGGTCAACTCTACAAAGTTCAACAAGGCCAACTGCCGGGTCCTGCACCTGGGGTGCAATAACCCCAAGCAGAGCTACAGGCTGGGAGATGAGTGGTTGGAAAGCTGCCAGGCAGAGAAGGACCTGGGAGTATTGATGCATAATCAGCTGAATATGAGCCAGCAGTGTGCTCAGGTGGCCAAGAAGGCCAACAGCATCCTGGCTTGTATAAGAAGCAGTGTGGCCAGCAGGTCTAGGGAAGTGATTGTCCCCCTGTACTCGGCTCTGGTGAGGCCACACCTCGAGTACTGTGTTCAGTTTTGGGCCCCTCGCTACAAGAAGGACATGGAGGTGCTTGAGTGGGTCCAGAGAAGGACGACGAAGCTGGTGAGGGGTCTGGAGAACAAGTCTTATGAGGAGCTGGGCTTATTCAGCCTGGAGAAGAGGAGGCTCAGGGGCAACCTTATTGCTCTCTACAGGTACCTCAAAGGAGGCTGTAGCGAGGTGGGGTTTGGTCTATTCTCTCACGTGCCTGGTGACAGGACGAGGGGGAATGGGCTAAACTTGCACCAGGGGAGTTTTAGGTTGGATGTTAGGAAGAACTTCTTTACTGAGAGGGTTGTTAGGCATTGGAACAGGCTGCCCAGGGAAGTGGTTGAGTCACCATCCCTGGAGGTCTTTAAAAGACGTTTAGATGTAGAGCTTAGTGATATGGAGCTTAGTGGAAGACTTGTTAGTGTTAGGTCAGAGGTTGGACTCGATGATCTTGAGGTCTCTTCCAACCTAGACGATTCTGTGATTCTGTGACCACCCTGATTTCTTTTCCTGAAAACACTTGTACATGATTTTTCCTTTAATAATTATTTTTCCTTTTTATAAGACATTAAGAAGATTTAATGGACATTTTCCAGTTAGACGAGACCATGAATAGTGAAGGGATAGTAGTTTTACTTATTCTGTAAGCAAGTCTTCTCTCCTCCCTTTTCTTCAGCATCTTCAGTGAAGATGAAAAATGAAAAAGCATTAGTTGCGACCTAACATTTTATTTTAGCAATGAACAAACTCTCCATTAATCTTACCAAAACTTTGTGTTATTTTTGATCAGAGCACAAAATATACTGATAAAATGAGAGGTCCTGCATGCCTTTTTTACCTCAGTCTTTAGCAGCAAGACTGACTTTCAGGAATCCAAAGTCCCAGAAACCAGGGCACAAGGGAGGAGAAAGGAAGATGTACCCTTGGTGGAAGAGAATAAAGCTAGGGAATACTTAATCAAAGTGGACATTCATACTCCATGGGCTAACATACTTCTCTTTATCAACAGTGTTTTTAGCATTGTCATGCTCTGGATGAGATGAAAGTGTCTGTGACCTTAGTTTTTTGGGAAGCCAGAAACTTATGTCTTGCAAACCATGCAGGGAATCTGCTAGGGAAGATTCAGAGTAAGTAAGGTTATATAGCACACCAGTCAGTACCACTAATAATGAAATAGACTTCAGTTAAAGTACTGACACCCACAATTTTATTTTATTTTATTTCTTTTTTGGGGGGATAAGAGGGGTAGGTGGGAGACAGAATAATAAAAATTTTTGTGGAAACAAATTACAGTCTTCAGCATTAGCAGGAGTTCATTTAAAACACATTTTCTGATCACTGATTTGGTAGGTGCTTTTGTAGGTCTTACCATCCTGGGAACACAGACCTCTCACTGCTGGTGAGAGATTTTCTCCACCCTAGTACAACATTACCTTTGTCTTGAAAATCCTTTCTCTCCAGTGGGCTGGAAGGACATAGATAAGTACAAGGCATTTGTTAGGGGAAATGTTTGGCACATCCCAATATCTGCCCTTTATCCAGTCAGAATGACTATGTAGGTCATTCTAGCTCAGTTATAGGTACACTTCAAACCAAGAGAGAAATCCTCTATCAGAAAGGGTTAAGCCTCAAATCTGAGTCAGCCTCAAATAAATTACAGGAAGAAGTGCTTTGGAGCTAAGTATAAATATGATTGTCAAGCCAGATTCTACCTACCTGTGTCTGGGAGCTTATGCAGTGAGGGAGGATGAAGAAGCTGCTTCCCAAACAGTAACCGTGGCCAACTCAGGAGAGTTACCTCACCCAACCTCAGCACAGCTTCTCCATCCTCTGAGATTCCCCCTGCTTATTCCAGTCAAACTGATACATGTAGTTCAATGTTTCATGGGGTTTTTGTTTGTTTATTTTTTGTATGCAGTGAGGGGTATTCTCACACTTTTACGGGTTGGCCATTTGTCTTTTCCTAGAAAACCTTGTACCCTTATGCCAAGAGGCACCTTAGGCTTGGGACGTTACATCATTTTTTCTCTTCCCTTAAGAATTATTATTTGTTATTTTGCTGATTTTAGTTGAGGTTCCATTTTCCATCTGAAAAATGCCTGCAACATCCTACCAGGAGACTGTGAAAATACTTACATTTTGGTGCTATGTAGTTGCATACCAGCTGGGGAATTACTTCAAGCTGCAGAAACATAGCCTTTATACCGAGTAGCAAGGTGTGTCTTAAGCATACAAACCTAGCAGTGCAAAAACCTATCAAAGATTGAGTCTGTGGCAGTCTTTAATTCCTTTTCTTCTGTTGCATATAGCCTCAGACCAGACTGAACTGAGTAACCTGTTAATCCTTTGTACGTAAACTTATTCCTCTCTGGCATTGTTCCACAGAGGTCACTGATTATATTTAGCATTGTTCAGTTGAAGTTTAGCAGACCTTCAAAAAGAACATAGTTGGCACATGATTTTGAATCCAAGACATCAGGAAAACATTATTATTTTGTTAGGTAGGCAGTAATGGTATGCAATTTTAATTTACAAATGTGCTAATTTGCCACTCTACATTGCAGCCAGACACTTAAAATCTGGAATACTGAAAATAAATGATAGGATAGTGATCTGGAAACCAGTGTTTATGTGTCTTTTTCACACTTATCCTGTTCTTAGGTCCTACAGTTTTCTATGTATTCAAAGCCCATAAGAACAGTGCATTGACTATATTGAATTTCTGCTTTCAGAAACTTAGGTGCAGTTAGCTTGTGTAAAGATTATGCATTACAATGCCTGTTTAGGAAGACTTGTCTTCTTTACTATAATTTTATAATATGAAAAAAAAATATTTTGGTGCATTTAGATATGAACTAGCTTGTAGCTAACAAATTTGATTAAGCAATGAACTTAGTTTTGTTTGCACATCTTGACAACAACTGACAAAGTGAACATATAAAACATTTCTCTTAAGTATGTAAGCTGAAAAATGTCATAGGAAAGTAAGCGTCTGAAATATACCCTAAAATGCCTGACAGTATGCTCAGAATTTCTACCTAAATGAACAAATAAGATGCTTGAGAGCTCACTCAGCAATTTTGTAATCATTTACCAGGAATGGGTACCTATTTAGTCAGCACTGACAATTTCTCAAGTGGAAACAAACAAAACAAACAAACAAACAAAAAACTATAGCTTTAGCATGTTCCTCCAAAATATGTAAAGTTAAAAATTTATCCTTGAGGAAAATTGGTGCCATGTACACTTAAGGCACAGTGAGCAATCATTGCATCCACTATTTTTCACAATCTACAGACTACAAAATAATAAAGTATGATTTTTTCTTTTTCCTGGTAGATGTCCGTAGAAGAACAATTTATGAATACCATAGGGTGGAACTGCAGATGTCAAAGATCACCAACCTGTCAGCTGTTGAAATGATACCTCTTCCAAGTAAGTAAAACAAAACATAGGCAGCACATGGGCAGAAGCCAGATCTGGGGGCAACCTCATTTACAACACACACACAATTTAAAGTATTTTGTTTTATCTGTGAACTTGGAGTTATGGACAGATTCATTTACCCACTCTCAAATTTATTCCCATCTGGATGATGCATTATCTAATGCATCCTCATGTATCACAAGTTACATTAGCATAGGCATATAGCTCCCCGTAGGTTATGAATGAAATCTGTGTCAAATCATTTTTTTCAGAAGAATGCTTATGTTTGTTTCCTCAAGAAAAAATAACATATTTTCATGCTTGCAAAGCAAACACAAATAGTTCTGTGTACTGTGCATCCCTTCTCAAAGGAACATCCCCAAATGCATTTTGCAATTCATTTATTTATTTTTTTTTTGTCCAAGGTAAAACTACATTGTTTAGAAATATCTGGGTTTAAACCACCAGTTATAGTATTGTGAAAAAATAAAAAATATAAAATAAAATGGAAACAGCCTTTTTCCTGTTTTCTAATCCAGTTACAGTCCTTGCACACTTTCCTGCCAGTCTTACTATTTGTGTAGGTCTGAACGTTAACAACACCCAGGAACTCTGGAGCCAGAGAACAAAGATTTAAGGAAATACTATGCAGAAAGATATAACAAAAAAAAAAAAAGGCAATGAAGTTGAAAGAGGTGTTGTGGAAATGAGATTATATTTACAAATGGAATACAAATGAAATCCTACAAATAGAATGTACCTCTGTGCATATGGTTGTGCATTGCATTGTAATAGGTTGGGTTTAGTGTGTTATTTTGATCATCTTAGAACCTACTCATTCTGTAAATATATACTATCTGAAGATGTATCCTTTTCTTATACCTTTTGTGAGATTAATGTAGTAATTTCTGTTTATATATCTGCTTCCTAGCTTGTCTCCAGTTCAACAGCTGTGGTCCTTGTGTCACTGCCCAGATTGGCTTCAACTGCAGTTGGTGCAGTAAACTCCAAAGGTAAAGAGTATTTATTTATTTATTTATTTATTTATTTATTTTTGATACGGGTATACAGATGTGATCAAAGGATATCCAAAAATATTTCCAATAGGTTACTCAGTACAGGGGGATGTTATGTTTTATATACATGCATTCACATGGATATATACCTCAGTTGAAGTGTGGCTAGTGATCACGTTGTCCCGTTTCATTTCAGCAAAGAAATTAAGCAACAAAGGTCAAAACAGTTGTCTTAGGAGTTAAGCCCTTGTTCCTGTTTCCTTAACCCCACTTTAAAATTATTCTGAAGGACTCCACATGAAGTAGAAATCAGAATAAAATTCATGTTTTCTACCTGTATCCATTGCTTCATCAAAAATAATGTAACCATAAGAGGTATGGGGTGGCAATGTAACTATAAAAGCATGCTTGTTCTCTTCACAGTAGGAAGACTGACACATCCAGGGACTCAGATTCTTTTCTCTTTTAACTTCTCATCATACTTAGTGGTCACATTTGGTGTCTTCAGCCTCTCACTGCCACATTTTATGACAAGGTGACCCACTTGTTGAACGAAAGACTGTGGATTTTGTCTACCTAGACTTCAGTAAAGCTTTTGGCACTGTTTCCCACAGCATTCTCCTGGAGAAGCTGGCTGCTCATGGCTTGGTCAGGCATATGCTTCGCTGGGTAAAAAGACGCAAATTGTGGTGAGTGGAGTTAAATCCAGTTGGAATCTGGTCTACTGGGACACTAGAGGTGTCCCCCAGGGCTCAGTACTGGAGACAGTTCTCTTCAACATCTATATCACTGATCTGGATGAGGGGATCAAGTGAACCCTCAGTTTATAAATGACACCAAGTTAGGTGCAAGTGTTGATCCTCCCAAGGGTAGGAGGGTTCTGCAGAAGGATCTGGGTAGGCAGAACAATGGGCTGAGGCCAACTGTATGAGGGTTAACAAGTCTAAGTGCCGGGTCCTTCACTTGAGGCACAATAACCTTATGCAGTGCTACAGGCTGGGGCTGTAAAGTGGATGGAAAGTTGCACAGCAGAAAAGGACCTGGAAGTATTGGTCAATAATATGACCAATATGACCACCTGAGCACTCTGCTGGCTGAATATGAGCAGATAGACTGAATATGAACCAGCAGAGTGCTCAGGTGGGCAAAAAAGCCAACAACATCCTGGCTACTATCAGTAGTAGTGTGGCAAGCAGGACTAGGAAAGTGATTGTTCCTCTGTACTCAGCTCTGGTGAGGTCACACCTTGATTACACCTGTGTTCAGCTTTGGGCCCCACACTACAAGGACATCGAGGTACTTGAGCATGCCAAGAGAAGGGCAACGAAGCTGGTGAAGTGTCTAGAGGACAAGTCTTATGAGGAGCAGGTGACGCAGATGGGGTTATTTGGCCCAGAGAAAAGGAGGCTCAGGGGAGACCATATCATTCTCCTTAATTACCTTAAAGGAGGTTGTAGCAATGTGGGGTTTGATCTCTTCTCCCAAGTAGCAAGCAATGGGACAAGAGAAAATGGCCTCAAGTTGCACCAGGAGAGATTTAGTTTGGGTATTAGGAGAAATTTCTTTACTGAAAGGGTTGTGCTGCATTGGAACAGGCTTCCCAGGGAAATAGTCGAATCACCATCCCGTGAGGTATTTAAAAGATCTGTAATGTGGTGTTTAGTGATATAGGTTAGTGGTAGACTTGGTAGTCCTAGGTTAATGGTTAGACATGATGATCTTAGAGCTCTTTTCCAACCTAAATGACTCTATGATTCACAAGGACAGTCAAGTCAGTAGTACAAATGATTTAGACTGTGCAGAAGCTGGAGCAAAGACAGTAAAATGGCAATTCCACAGCTGTAGCCTTTACAAAAAAGTTCTTCTGTTACTGAATTTCATTGATCTTCATGAAATGAATCTTCATAGTATGAATTTATTTTACACTGGTTCTCTGACACAAAATGCAGTATCATAATGGCTATGTATCATTTTGTTTTTCAACCCCAGTGACTAGGTTCAGAAATCTTATGTATAAAGTGTATGTGTAATGAAAGGAGAAAAAGGCTATTAGCATTCTAAAATACTGTAATGACTTGATACCATGTTGAAGAACTGAAAAATAGATGATGAACCAGATATTAAGAACTTGGTGTCACTCTTATTATGTTTTCTTAAGCTTCAACTCTCACAATAAGTAATTTGATAAGTCACTCTTGTTCTCAGTGTTTTGCAAAAAGCTCTTTTGTATGGAATTGAAGCTGAAGGCACAAAATGTATCAAACGTCTTCAAGAATAAGGATAGTTGTAGAGAACCTTCCCAAGCAAGCATGAATAGATCTTGTTTACTTTATCAGTTTCTTGCTTTCATGCGTTGCTTGGTTCTCCTTCAATTAATAAATGTTGTAGCACTATCTGTTAGAAGAGTCTGTTACTTTGTAGCCAGTGTTCTCATTTCTGTTTAGATAAATTTATTTATAGCAAGTAAATATGAAGAGATAATAAGGTTCACACCTCTTATGAAGATCTGGCGAACCCTGAGATCCTTTGTTTTCTTCTGTAGTTTCTGAAGAACTGATTTTCCCAAGTTCTGGAATTACTGTTTTGTTCACTGAGGCACAAATTCACTGTGGAGAACAGAAAGGGTTTTATACTTCACCATTAGTAGGATACAACACGAAGCATGTAGTTGCACTTTTTCCTTCCATATGGTCAGATGAATTTGTGACTACCCATTCATAATTGGCAAAATGCAATTTGCTCCTGAAAAACATACAGTCTCAACACATCTATTTCTATTCAATTAAAGTCCACATGAAAAAAAGTCTTGCTCTTTTTTCCCTGTGAAGATCACACAGCAATCAAAGATGAACCTACTGTGAAGGATCCTTGCTCTGTTTCCCAAAAACAGTCAGCTCCACACTGCAGCACTGTTGTACCTTTGATGATATGCAGCAGATAGACTGAAGAGCTTTATTGCTGTTAATTATACCATTACTAACTGTATTGAGACTGTAATTTCATGCAGGCTGTGTTCAGACATCATTTGACCAGCAGCAAAAGCAGGAACTGGTATTAATTTTTTATTTTTATTTTTTTTTTTAAGTATAGATCCAGAAAAGCAAACTAAGATCATGCATCTGCACAGAAATTGTAGTAGTTTAAAAACAGTCATATTGTCCAATTTATTTCTATAAGGATGAGTGATAGTAGGCTGGGCTTGAGCAAATGCAGGAATGTGTTTAGAATCGTAAAATAATTCATATTGGAAGAACCTGCTAGAGGTCATCCAGTCCAACCACCTGCTCAAATCTGGGTCAGCTGTGAGCTCAGACCAGTTTGCTCAATACTTGAATTAGCTGGATCTTGAAAACCTTTAAGGATGGTCCCCTGAACACCTTATTTTTACACTAGATTGTACCCCTTATTTTTAAAACTCTCATTTTCTACACCAATATGGCTGTGGTAATAATGCCTGTCTCAGGCCCTGTTGCCTTTCTTGTCCCTCTTCAGCTTCTGAAAAAAAAAGAGTAACTTATTTCAACTAATTCAATTCTACAGAGAAACAGATCTGAAATAAGAAGTGGAAACAAAATTTGTGAAAAGGGGCAACTTGCTTCCCAAAATGTGAAAATTGAGCACCATTTTTATTTTTTATTACGGGTATATTATGGTCTAGGTTTGTTGTGATGAAAATTCATTCCTGTCAACTTTGATAATTTTGTGTTTCCTACAATACTGTCACCTGCATTCTTGCCCAGTGCCTCTCTTTTATCTTGCTGTTACTCACTGTGTTCTTTCACATTATATTCATATAGAAAAATCTTTATTTCATTGCTCAGTTTAGATATCTGGATCACTACAAAGTGCCTAATCATTTATTTCAGTAATACATTGTTTTTACCCCCCTCACAAATAAATTCATTATGTTAAAGTATTCTTTTTGCATATGATAAAGAAACTGTGTCAAAATAATACCTAATTATTCTAGTTAAAAATCGTAAGGAATAGAAAGCTCTGAGTTCCTTCATCACAGTGGTTCTGCTTTTTCTGTATCACTGCTCCTCAGTTACTAGCCTAGACTAAATTGCCCTAGACTTTTATTTTCTGTTGTGATAAACATTGTTCTTCTGCAGCTGAATAAAATCTACTTGGAAAAACAAGGGCAAAGCACTACATGAAGTATCAACTTAGACATTTCAGAAGTGCCTAGTGAAGAAAGAATATTAATATTTACACTTTACAGTGAGTACTAGGAGGGGTTTTTGACTAAGCAGAAGTGGATGTTTAGGAGTAATGCCCAAGTAGTGCTTCTGGGCTGCAGAGTAGAGAATGATGTCACTGGCTGGACACATTGGTCTGGGAAGTGAGAAACCAAAGGCCTCTTTTCTCATAGGCAAAGCCCAAAGGGAATGGCATCTAGCCTTTGGTGCAAAACCTGAAGAAAGTGTTGAACATGGTACTGGAAGGTTCCAGTGTGGCAGTACTCTACTAATTGATCCATTTGGTCCACTTTCTGCAGCAGGAGAGGGCCTGCTTGACAATGAGGAGACTGACAGAGTAATGAGGCTCACGTGACTGTAACAGACAGTGATGCTCCTCCTGCAGAGCTGCAGTAGCACTTTGGTACTCTAAAAAAGGAACTACCAGAGAAGATCATCTTCCATGTGATAACATGGAAGCATGTATCCAATGGGAAACAACTCTACTTATTCTACAACCCTTTTTTCTCAACAAGTTATGATCCCATTTATCCAGAGCAACTGTGCTGCTGAAAACAGCATCTTGTATCTTTTTTTCTTTGCACAAAATTTAAAACACATATTGAATAATTCACACAATCAAGTACAGTAGTTGGAAAAATAGAAAGTGTTCAAAAAAACAATATCTGAACAAGGAAAATTGACAGGAGAGTCATTGCAGAATAACTGCACTCCCCCATGTGGGCAATCTGTATTGGAATGAAAATAATTTTATTTTGCAACACAGTGGATTGTTTCCTACCTGTGACTTCAGTC